TCACCTTTCTTTAGAATGGGCACAAATATAGGCCTCTTCCAGTTGGTTGGCCATGTAGTTGTCTTCCAAATTTCTTGACATAAACTAGTAAGCACTTCCTGCATTGCATCCATTTGTGGAAACATCACAATTGGTATGGTGTCAATTCCTGGAGACTTGTTTATCACCAGTTCCTTCAGTGCAGCTTGGATGTCCTTTTTTCAATACCAGTTCTTGATCATATGCTACCTACTGAAATGGTGGAGTGTCAATCAATTTTTTTTTGTACAGAAACTCTGTATATTCCTTCCATCTTCGTTTGATTCTTCCTGCATCACTCAATATTTTGTGCATAGAATCCTTCCACATTGCAACTAGAGGCCTGAATTTTTTCTTGCATTCTTTCAACTTGAGAGATGCCAAATGTGTTGTTCCCTTTTGGTTTTCTAACTCGAGGTCTTTGCATATTTCATTATAATATTTTTACTATGTCTTCTTGAGTTACCCTTTAAAATCTTCTATTCAGCTCTTTTACTTCATCATTTCTTCTGTTCACTTTAGCTACTCTCCATTCAAGTTTCCCAGTCTCTTCTGACATCCATTTTGGTCTTTTCTTTCTTTTTAATTACTGTTTGCTTCCTTCCTGTATGATGTCTTTGATGTCATCCCACAACTTGTCTGGTCTTTGGTCATTGGTGTCAATATGTTAAATCTATTCTTTAAATGGTCTGTAAATTCAGGTGTGATGTAATCAATTCATATTATGGCTCTCATGGACTTGTTTTCATTTCCTTCAGCTTCAACTAAAACTTGCATATGTATCACTGACCTTGTTCTGAATGATGATATTGAGCTTCCCTATTGTCTCTTCCCACAGATGTAGCAATTTGATTCCTGTGTATTCTATCTGGTGAGGTCCAGATAATAAATGGATAATAACCATTTATGTTGTTGAAAAAAGATACTTGCAATGAATAAGTCATTGCTCTTGCAAAATTCTATCATGGCATCTCCAGCATCATTTCTATCACCAAGACCATATTTCCTAAACACTGATGGTTCTTTTTTGTTTCCAACTTTTGCGTTCCAGTCACCAGTAATTACCAAAGCATCTTGATGGCATGTTTGGTCAATTTTAGACTGCAGAAGTTGGTAAAAATCTTCAATTTCTTTCTTTTTTTAAAAAATTTTTATTGTGATTTGTGTGAAAGTTTACAGAGCAAATTCATTTTCCATGCAGCAGTTCTCATACTCTGTCTCATGATATTGACTGCAATTTTCCACAATGCAACAGCTCTCTTCCCACTTCCTGACATAATTACCACTTGCTTCCCTGTGTCCTTCCCTCCCATGCACTCCTGTCCCCTGAGATATCTCCTTGTGCATACAGACCTTCTATTCTCCCACAATTGATCTCTCCAAGGAGTGTATCTACCTAATGTAAATGTTCAGCTCATATGCCTATCTTTTTTTTTTGACTGGAAGCCACAGGAGTAGGTTCAATTCCAGACCTGAAGGGCAGCTAGGAGCCATAGTTTCAGGGGTTCCACCAGGCTTTTTCAGACCAGCAAACCTGGTCTCTTTATATATATATAGATAAATCTTCAATTTCTTCATATTTGGCTTTAGTGGTTACTTTGTAAATGTGATTAATAGTAGTATTAACTAGTCTTGCTTCTATACATCTAGATAATACCCTATCACTGATAGCACTGTTCTTCAGAATAGATCTTGAAATGTTCTTTTTGACGATGAATGCAACACCATTCCTCTTTAATTTGCCATTCCCTGCTTAGTAGACTATATGATTGTCCAGTTCAAAATGGCAACATCCATCCATTTCAGCTCACTAATGTCTAGGACAGGAGCTCTGGTGGCATAGTAGATAAGGCACTTGACTGTTAACTGGAAGGTCAGAGGTTCAAACCCACCAGCTGCTCCGTGGAAGGAAGACTGTCTCAAGAGAAGCACTATGGTATCTGCATATGTGTGTACATATATACATAAAATGTGTAACCCAATCGTAAAAATCAAAATGCATGGCATATAAATGACCTATTACTACTACTACTCACTGCTATTGAGTCAGATCCAACTCATAGTGACCTCTCCTTGGGTTTCCAAGGCAGTATCCCTATAGAAGTAGATTGCCCAACCTTCCTTCTGAGGAGTGGCTGGTGGGTTTGAACCACCAGCCTTCTGGTTAGCAATAAGATGCCTTTGGCACTATGCCACCAGAGCTCCCATAAATGACATAAGATGCCAAAAATGGAGGTGATCCATAAGATTGATAAATAAGTAATTAAATCAACTACTCTTTATATGTATGATATTTATTGAAAGGGACATTGGCATTCACTGGTAGAATTCTCACCTTCTGTGCAAGACACACAGGTCCTATTTCTAGCCAATGTACCTCATGTATACCCACCACCTATTTGTCAGTGGAGGCCTACCTGTTGCTATGATGCTAAATAGGTTTCAGGGGAGTGCTCATACTAAGACCAGGAAGAAAGGCCTGGAGATCTACTTCTGAAAATCAGCCAATGCAAATCCCATGGATCACAACATTCTAATCCACAACCGATCCAATCATGGGTGTCTTAGTTTGTGTTCTCTAGAGGAGCAAAACCCTCATAGCGACCCCTTCTTGGGTTTCTGAGGTGTATCTCGACAGAAGTAGATTGCTCAGTCTTCCTTCTGAGGAGTGGCTGGTGGGTTTGAATCACCAGCCTTTTGGTTAGCAGTCAAATGCCTTAGCCACTATGCCACCAGAGCTCCTAGTGAAGTGTATATAGATGTATATATATATGGAAAAATTAGTACAAGGAAATTGCTCATACAATTGTGAGGATATGGCTCACACAATTGTGGAGGCTGGCAAGTCCCAAATACATGGGTCAGACAACAGGCCGAAGACCTCTACTAGCTCATGTGGTTGCAGAGGCTAACAAACCCCAAATCTGCAGGTCAGGTGACAGGCTACATGCCTCTGCTGGCTCACAGTGTTGTAGTGGTTGGTGAACCCAAAATATGCAAGTCAAGCTGCAGGCTGGAGGCCTCTGCTGGCTAATGTCTCAGGAACAGTGGTCAGATGAGAACATTACAGGATAGAGAAAGAGAGAGCAAGCTTTGCCAAAACTTCCACTTATATACTGGATGCAGGCCACACCCCCAAGGAAATTCCCCTTCTAAATGATTGACTGTTCACATTAGATCACAAAGTAGAAGGTGATATGTAGTATCTACCAAACCACTGAGAGTTATGGCCTAGCCAAGCTGATATGAAACATTAACCGTCACAGTGGGGATGGTGCAGGACTGGGCAGAGTTTCTTTCAGTTGTACGTGGGGTTGCCATGAGTCAGGGGCTGGCTCTATAGCAGCTAACAATATATACTGAAATCTTAGGAACTCTCCTACTTATAATAAAAAACAATTGCTCAAAAAATATTTGGCTATTAGTTATCAATTTTTTTCTTTTGAATAACATCCAGAGATGTTGGTCCCTGAAAGAGGTTATGAAACTTACTTGAGGATTGGCAATGTTTTTCCCTTTGAGAGCAACAAAAGTAAGTTCAGGGGCTCTGACGCAGCAGAGCCCTGGTGCAGGCAGGCTGCCTGGGCCTGGGTCACAGTGCTCATTGTTCATAATTGTTTATGTTGTCACCACGGGCATCAGTTGTCATCCTGGAGAGATGCTCCAGACCACCCTTCCTCCTGGAAGAAGCCAATGCTTCCCATAGTTAAGGCTACAAAAACTCTTGGCCATCTCCCCACAGCAAACTCTCAAGTAAGGAGCCAGACCACAAGCCTTTGAGATCTCAGAGGCGAGCAGAACAAGGGCGCCTTGCCTTTTTCTCTCTTTCTCATCTGCAAAATCCTTCCAAAACTCATATTAAAACATAAGGTGATTACCCTTCCTTTGGAAAGACTGTCTTAGAAAGATGGAAAAAATACTTACCAAAGCCAAAAGCCAGCAGCCTATTGAAACTGTGTGGGTGGAGGGTCCTTGACACCACAGTGACTACAGGGCTTTGTTTCCTTTCAGATGGTAAAGGGCCAAGGTGGCAATTATGTCACAAATCCACTTAACAGAGAAGTCCGTGGAGCCCCACAGCAGTATGGCTTTTATTATTTTCACTAAAACAGATTAACAGAGTCTTACAAATATTCTTTTTAACTTGGGTGTTGCTGCTTAGTTGTTAACTTTGTACAGAAGAGTATTGTTCCCAGCATCGCATGGTCAAGGCAGAGCCTTCTTGAAAAGTAGAGCACTGAGAAGCTCTAGGAGCTTTTGCTCTTCATATTTAGGAAATGAGTCTCACTTTATACTCTGCAGATCAGGGTCAGTGTCTTATTCTAGGTTCCCAAACAGGGTTTACTATCTTAAATTTCCTTACCTTCTAAAGGTTCATGCGTTATACAATAGGTGATACACATTTGAGAAATTCTTCAGCTACTTCAAAATTTGAAAAATGTACTTTGTACCTGTCACTTATACCAAGTCGGCTTCTAGGAAGGAGCTGAGGAAGCTAACAATAGAGTCCTATTATGAAAAAAATAGGAGATTAGGAGTGAATTGAAGGCAAGAGAAAGAAAGACAGTTATAACCAGAATGTAAGATAGTGGCTTCCTTTGAACAGAAAGCTTGGTGCCCTGCTTTCTTGACAAAAGGAAACATAATAGACTTTGGTGAAATATTCTGGGCCATCCTTCCACTCAGCAGAGAAGGATATAATTGACTACATGTCAGGATGTTAGTAACTTCCATGCATGTTGATGGATTGAAGTGGTGAATATTAGTCCAAAGCAATCTGTTTTGAGCCAATAATCAAGAAGCAAGATTGTGGGGAACATTTCTTTGCATGGAGACATAGGTATTCTGGTCACTGGCAAACATACGGGTCAGAGAGAAGATTCAGGAATTCACCATGAGATTCTTATTTGTTATTGAATTTAATGGCCTTTGACATCAAACCCTTCCAAGACGTTAACACTAAATGTTATTCTTATCCCTAGTGCTATCAGTGGTTGAAGGAAAGAATTGTAAGTGAAGAAGGGAGAAAGCAGCAAAACAAACTAAAAGACCTTTCCCCAATTGCTGAGCGTCTGGGATGCACACTACCTCAGCTCGCTGTAGGTAAGAAAACCACTGAGGAGGGAGAGAAAATAGCTCTGCTGAAATCACAGAATAAATAGTTTTCAAGGGTTGATCTGGGGGCAGTGATGGTTCAGTGGTAGAATCTCGCCTTCCATTTGGGAGACCTGGGTTTGATTCTAGCTAATGCCCATCATGCACAGTCACCACCCTCTGTCAATGGAAGTTTGTGGGTTGTTATGATGTTAAACAGGTGTCAGCAGAATTTACAGATGAAGATGAACTAAGATAAAAGGCCTGGAAATCTATTTAAGAAACATTAGCCAGTGAAAATTATAGATTACAAGGTGTGATCCCATTGTGCGTGGGGTCACCATGAGTTGGGGGTGACTTGACAGCAGCTAACATCATTGATCCACATCCTTCTCATCCATTGTAGAGGCAGACTGGTCTCTGAAGCATAAACCTGGTTAATATACATCAGGTGAGGTTTTCAGAATTCCCTCAGATTTTCTGTGCACTAAGGTAGTTTTCTTACTTTCATTCCCTCTACTTTACACTACCATCCCTTCTAAACAAGCACATCAGTGAAGCACACCCATCCTCACAGTGCTAGGGGTGAGTGCCCCCTGAACCTCCTGGTTCCATCCATTTCATCTGGCTCATGTTTCCATCCCTTTGAAGCTAAATCAGGGCCGGTGATAGGCTGGACTGTGAAAGAAGCCCAAGGCTACTGCAACATAACAATCCAATCCCACAGGGAAAATTTACCCTCAAACTTCTTGAGAGACCATGATGACATGGTCACGTCTGATGATGTGGAGTCACTGAAAGATCATGGTCCAGTAAATTAGAAACCTCACATACCAGCACCATCCAGAAGAAATACCACAGGAGCCACGTATATACCATTTAATTTTCTAGTGGTCCTCTTTTAAAAAAAGTAAAAAGGAAACAAGTGAATTAATTTTAATAATGTACTTTATTTAACCCAATATATCCAAAATATTAACATTTGACCATAAAATAAATACAAAAATTATTAATAAGCTATTTCGCATTTTTTTTTTTTTCACACAAAGTCTTCAAAATCCAGTATGTATTTTATGCCTACAGCATATCTTGATTTAGGTTAGCCACATCTCCCACATTCAATGGCCACACTTGGCTAGAGGCTACTGTGCTGGACAGTGAAGCATTTAGACCTTCAGTCCACTTGCTGGGGAATATTTGCCAGGTTCTGTGCTAAAGGCTTTACATTGTCTATTTCCTTTAATTCTCAAAGCAACCCTATGAAGATTATAGGGCTATACTATCACTAATACTATTTTACATATGTTAATAAATTTTGTGCTATTATCTCCACTTTACACAGGAATAAACTGAAAACAAAAACAATTGCCATCAAGTCAATTTAGACTCATGGTGACCTTATGTGCGTTAGAGTAGAGCTGTGCTTCAATCTTATGGAAGTAGATTGCCAGGTCATTCTTCCAAGGTGCCTCTGAACAACAAAAAAACAAACTCACTGCCATTGAGTCGAATCTGACTCATAGCAACCTCTCCTTGGATTTCTGAGATGGTATCACTATGGAAGTAGGTTGCCCAACCTTCCTTCCGAGGAGTGGCTGGTGGGTTAGAACAGCCACCTTCTGGTTGGCAGTCAACTGACTTAGGCACAATGCCACCAGAGCTCCTAAGGTGTCTCTGGGTAGACTCAAACCTAAACTTTTTGGTTAGCAGACTAATGTTCTAACTGTTTGCACAACTCAGGGACTCCAAAATGATGTAGCCACTGTGGAAAATAGTTTGGCAGTTCCTAAAAAAGTTAAACATAGAATGTTTAACTTAGAAACCATGTTGTTGTTGTTGTTGTTATTTGCCGTCAAGTTGACCCCGACTCATAGCGACCCCTCCTTGGGTTTCCGAGGCAGTATCACTACGGAAGTAGGATTGAAACCATATGACCCAGCAATTCCATGCATTGTTGTTTTGTTGTTGTTATGTGCTGTTGAGTCGGACCCGACTCATAGTAACCCTCCTTGGGTTTCTGACGCAGTATCACTACAGAAGTAGATTGCCCCATCTTCCTTCAGAGGAGTGGCTGGTGGGTTTGAACTGCCAGTCTTCTGGTTAGCAGTCAAGTGCCTTAGGCACTATGCTACCAGAGCTCCCAATTCCATATATACAAACACACACACACACACACACACCCCCAAGAGTTGAAGAGTTGAAAGCAGGGATCAAACTAATACTTTTATACCAATGTCCATTGCAACTTTACTCACAATAGCCAAAAAGTGGAAACATCCAAGTGTCCATTAATAGATGAATAGATAAACAAAATGTGGTATATCCATACAACACCATATTATTTAGCCATAAAGAGAAATGAAGTTCTGGTAAATGCTACAACATGGATGGACATTGAAAATATTATGCTGAGTGAAATAAATCACTCACAAATGGGCAAATATTTTATGATCCTACTTATATAAAACATGTAGAATGGGAAAATGTATAGAAACAAATTTGTTAGTGGCTACCAGAGAGTGGTGTTGCGGGGTGGGGAAACGAAATGGGATGTTGTTTGTTGTTATGTGCCATCGAGTCGGCCCCGACTCATAGTGACCCCTCCTTAGGTTGCTGAGGCAGTATCACCACAAAAGTAGATTGCCCAACCTTCCTTCCGAGGAGTGGCTGATGGGTTTGAACTGCCAGCCTTCTGGTTAGCACTCAAGTGCCTTAGGCACTATACTACCAGAGCTCCAAAAGAGGCACTGATTTTCTATTTAGGGTGATGAAAAGCATTTGCAAATGAATAGTGGTGGTAGTTGTAGAACACGGTGAATGTAATTAATGTCACTGAGTTAAAAATGGTTAAAATGGCAAATACTTTATATATATTACCACAATAATAATAATAATAATAAATAGGTATAAATCCTAGAAAAAAAATTGCTAAGAAATAAAACATAGCAGGAACTGGCACAGATCAGATCCAAAGACACAATGTGATAAAAACCTAAAGATGATTTTTCTGCAAATAATAGAATAGAATATGTGTTGGATATGACCCCTCTGAGGTTGGAAAGTAGAGAGAGGATAGTGCAGTTTACAGTTCCAGGAAGATGATAATGGGAGGCAGTATTAGAGGCAGAAAACGCCATGTACTCAAGCATATCTGTGTGTATTGCTTTAATCTTTTCTTCCAAAAAAAAAAGAAAGAAAGCAACAAAGAACATATTCAATGTGATTAGCTAACATCTATTACAGCTTTAAGAAGCACAGTAAAAAATATTAACTGTTTCACCACAATTTGATGATTAATTTTAAAAACTGTAAAATGAGTATCATAATACATATCTCAGAGCCTTCTTAAGTAAAGGAAATGAGATGTGTAAAGCAAAGGATAGGTGCTCAGTAACTGTTAGCTCTGATGATGATGTTCTTGCAGAACTAGACACACAGACTTGACACTGTTCACTCCTAGCCATGACATGTGGTCAGAACAATATGCACATACAGAAACACACTTCTGCATAGTCATAAACACGGCTTTAGGTGGTAATGTGAAAGCGAGTACTGAATTTAGTTCTGCATGGGATGAAAGAACATTCTCTTTCTAGGGAGGAAATCTTTACAAGATTTAGACTTTCACTGGACACTAGATATCCATGAAAGATGCTTCTTACAGAGCCTCAGTTAAAATGAAAACATGCTTTTTTTTCTTCTGTCTGTGCCCCCAGATGTCTTTTCTTTCTGTCACTCTGTTTTCCTTTCTGTATAAACTAGTGATTTTGTTTTTAACCACAGAACCCTCAGAACCAAAAGGGAAATTATTTCCAGATATATTGCCTTTGATCTGCTAGAAGGAGGGGTAAAGGGTGGGGTGAGGGGGCTGACCAGAAACAAACTACTTAAACCCAGCTGTATGCCAGCTCCCCAAGTCACACACCTGCACAGGAGCCAGCATTTGCATCTTGCTCATGAACTGGCACTCTGGATGTGCCTGCTGGTGACCCTCTGTGTCCTCACCACTTGGCTAGAGATGCTAATTATCTAGAAAAATCTGTAGGTGGCCAGGTCTGCAGAGTGAGTAGTCATTTCTGGGGAATCGGCTGTTGCTGACATTACGTAGTTTATGGGTGATAATTTGTCCAGGGCCCTGCTTTACCCTCAGAGATCCCACTAGAGTCAAAAAGAGTTCCAAGTGCAATGTAGGAAATAATGCAGGGGGCAGGGAACAGAGCCCTGGATCACTAGGCCTGTTGCCTTTATAGACTATTATTTTGTCCATGTGGAAAAATTTAGTGATCACCATAAAAGGTCCAGATAGCTTAAGAGTATCAATGGACAGTAGGGCCTTGAACAACTAGGGTCGAAGAGGTGATCAGGGACATTCATCAGTCATTCATGTCTATGTTTACTAACAAATATTTAATATGCCCCTACCATGTGAGGGGCAGTGGTGGTTCAATGCTTCAGTGGTGGAATTCTCACTTTTTATGCCTGAAGCCAGCGTTCGGTTCCCAGCCAGGGCATCTCATGAGCAGTCATGGCACATCTGTCAGTGGAGACTATGCTGCTGAACAAGTTTCAGTGGAGCTTTCAGACTGACATGAGGTAGGAGGAAAGGCCTGGAGATCTACTTTCAAAAGCCAGCCAGTGAAAACCCGATGGATCACAATGGCCCAACTCATCATACATGGGGTCGTCATGAGTCAGGGACCAACTCAACGGCAGCTAACAACACCAAGAGATGCCAGACAGTAGGATGGGTGCTAAAGATCCAGCTGCAAATAGGATATAGTTCACAGCCTGGTAGGCCAAGTCAGGAAAATCAGCAGATAATTTTAATTCAATGTTGTAGCAAACATTGAATTTTGTAGCAAACATTGAACATGTGGCAAAAGAAGGGCACAGGGAATTATGAGAGCAAAGAGTGGATAATACCCAAACCAACCTGGGGTTAAGGGAAAATTTTTAGGAGAAGGTAATACCCCTGAGAGCTCTGGTGGCATAGTACCTAAGGCATTTGACTGCTAACCAGAGGCTGGCAGTTCAAACCCACCAGCCACTCCTTGGAAGGAAGGTTGGCCAATCTATTTCCATAGTAATAACACCTCTGAAACCCAAGGAGGGGTCGCTATGAGTTGGATCCAATTTGACAGCAGTGTGTTTGGTTTTGGATTTTTGGTAATAGCCCTAGGGAATCTCTAATGCTAAGTAGATAGTTATGGGGCAAAGGGAACAGCTTGAACAAAGGACTCAAAGGAGAAAAACAGCAGGGGAGGAAAGTCCTCCAAAGAATTCATTGCTTCTGAAGTACAAAGTTCTAGGTAGGGAGTGACAAGACATGAAGGTGGAGAGTGGGTAAGAAGGGAAAATTTACCAGTGTAAGGAATAAGAGCTTCATTTTATAAGACAATTATGTGGACACACTGAGAAATTTTTAGGCAAGGAAGTGACACAATCAGACTTGTGTTTGGGGAGGCTACTGTTGGATTAAGGAGCTCTGGTGGTGTAGTACCTAAGGCATTACAGAAGGTTGGTGCTTCAAACCCCCCAGCCACTGCATGGAAGGAAGACTGAACAATCTACTTCTGTAAAGATTGACTGCCTCGGAAACCCAAAGAGGGTCACTATGAGTTGAAATTGGCTCAATGGCAGTGAGTTTGTTTTTTTCAGTTACTGTTGGATTTGGTATGAAAGCTGGATTTGAGGGGAATAATCCACGCGAGAGGTAAGAAGACCAGTTGTTCAGGAGAGAGATGTTGAGGGTCTGAATGGGGGCAGTGGTGTCAGAGATGGAGAAGAACTAGAGCAGTGATTCTCAAGTGTGGTCCCCATATATGCACCATGGAATGCTATTCAGCAACAATAAGAAATGAAATACTGATAATTATTACTAAAAAGAAATTAAAAAAGAGATATTGCAACATGGGTGAATCTTGAAAACATCATGCTAACTCAAAGAAGCCAGATACAAAAGACTACTTACCGTATGCATGCATTTAGATAATATGTCCAGAGAAAAACAAACTTAGAGATAGAAAGTAGATTAGTGCTTGTCCAAGGTTTGGGGTAGAAATGGAGATTAACTTTAACTAGTCAGAGGGATCTAGGGACGATGGAAATGGTGATGGTTGATTTAGTAAGTTTACTACAAATTATTGTACACTTTAAATGGGTAAATTTTATGGGTAAATTATACCTATATAAAGTTTGTTTTTCAAAAGCATTTGCTTGGAATTAGCATCACCTGGGAGCTTGTTAGAACTGCCAATGATCAGGCCCCACTCCAGACTTTCTGAATCAACGATTGATGTTTTCACAAGTCTCGCAGGCTGATTCTGATGCTCTGCACTAGAGAAATAGTTAGGGGAATAATCAACTAGATTTGGCAATTAAAAAAGAATGTTGAATTAGAAAAGGACAGTCCTTTAGAATAACTCCCAAATTGCTGGTTATGCCACCAAATGAGATTAAAAGAGGGGCAGGTTTAGTAATAAGGAGAAGCTGGGGAGGCCTGTGGAACACCTAGTGGGGATGTCCAGTACGCATGGCATCTATGAAACTCTAAACATCTAGTCCCTGCCAGCTAAGGACTGAGAAGTTCACTGTATTTAACCACAAGACGGCTCCTGGTGACTTTGGCTTCAGGGACACAATAAAAAGGTGACTGGGATATGAGGAGGAGGAGTAAGGACATCTAAACTATCTTTTACAAGTTTAAGAAGGGAAGAAGGTTGGGACAAGATCTAAGTGGGTGTGAAGGGTCAGAGAAAGCTTATTTTGGCATAGAAGAAATTTGAGCATGTTTTCTTAACAGAGAGAAAGAGGATAATAAGAGATTGAAATGCCAGGAGATAGAGGGAAATAATGGATGAAAGGAGTCCAAGAAAAGGCAGGAGGAGATGGACACAGGGCAGAAGTCGAGTCTGGCCTTGGACAGAAACAGCACATGTCATCTTCAGAATCTAGAGGATGGGGATGTAGATACTACTGTAGGTAGAATATTCCACTTGGTGGGTTTAGTTTTCTACATAAAATAGGAGGCAAGGTCGTTTTCTGAGAGTTAGGGAACAGGGGTTGAATAGAGTGTTCAAGGATGGAGGCTGTAAGGTCATTCATTTCAGGACAAGGAGAAGGGAGGTGACCAAAAGCAAGACAAAGGCTTGCCAGTTTGTGCTCAGAGCCTTGGTGGATGGACACATGAATGCAGAGAGGCACCAGACCACAGGCTGGCATGATTCTCCCAGCACATTCAACTGCCTTCATTAGGAAACAGAAAACACAGATGCACTATGGATGGGGAGTTGCTAGAGAAGCTGAAGAAGGAGAAAAATGAGGGTGTTGAGGGTTGGTGAGATAATCAAGCATCAGATGGATCCCGGGTTAAGGACTGACACGTGGATGGAAACGAAGGAACCAAACACCCAGATCTACAAGGGCTCCCATTACAGATAAGAAAGAAGTGAGCACGTGAATAAAACAGAGTCAGAAGATTGTGGCCCAGGTGGAAACTGGAATTAAGATGTCTGCTAGAGAGCAGAGTTAGGTGTTTTCAGGAACGAGAATGTGTTCCTGGGTGGGTAGCTGGGAAGGATGCCCCAGTCTTGGGAACAAGGATTAAGCCCACAGTTCAAATGCAGAGTCTATCAAAGCCTCTACACAGCAAGGGGTGCTGCTGAGGTTTTTAATCCTAGGGTACACTCTCTCTCGATTGCACCCCTAAAAAGTTAAATTCTGGCTGTTAACAATCATAGATAGCCATAGCTGGTGTTTATAGCTAATCAATAATCAGAAGGGCTTTGACATCCTGACCAGTGTTCGTTCTGTCTTCCCAGCGTGGTGCCTGAGAAACGAGGGTGTGAGTTCTGTGCTCCTGGGATCATCTACTCCTGAGCAACTCATTGAAAACCTCGGTGCCATTCAGGCAAGTACTACAGCCCTTCCCAACAAACCCCAGGGACTTTCTTGTCTGCTAATGCCTGGTGCTTTGGAAGAAGTCTCCAGGCAATATCCTGCCTCTCCTAACCTTTGTCCTTCAGTGTGTCACTGCCTCCAAGCTGAGGCTTCATACAAAGCCTCAAATATGAGGAACAGACTACTATGGGGGGTTGGAGGGGCAGGCTGGAGAAGAAGAGGGTCAAAGGCATAAGAAGCAACCAAAGAACTTTTACAGTACATGAATTCAGGAATTCAGGGACATCCCCTGCTTATTAAAAGGCAATGTTACCAAAGCTCATTTCTCAAGACAGTTTGTTTCTGTAGGCCCCAAGCAATGTTACCCCTAGAAATTGTGTTCAGTGACCTGATCATAAAAGCCTGCTTAATTATCTGCTTGAAATGCAATAGCCATAGGACAGTATACATTTACTATTTGTTTATTCTTTGCACAAGTATTTATTGCCAGCTTATAAGTTGGCAAGAAGTCCCCAGGTGATGGAAACAAGGGAGTTCTGGTGCTTAAGGTATTTGACTGCTAATCATAAAGTTGGTGGTTCAAACCCACTAGCCACTCCTTGAAAGGAAGACTGGGCAATCTACTTCCATAGAGATACTGCCTCAGAAACCCAAGAAGAAGTCACTATGAGTTGGACCGACTCAATGGCAGTGAGTTTGGTTTGGTTTCTGATATTAACAGAAAGGTTAAAGGTTTGAGTTCATCAGAGGCACCTCAGAAGAAAGGCCTGGCAATCTACTTCTGAAAAGTCAGCCACTGGAAACCCTATGGAGCACAGTTCTACTCTGACACACAAGGTTGCCATCAGTTACAATCAACAATACACGAACTTCCTCCTCTCTGCTCTTAAAGCACCCTGTGTCCTCTTCTCTGTCACTAAACCAAAAACCCAACTCACTGCCATCGAGTCAATTCTGACTCATAGTGACCCCCTTTGGGTTTCCAAGGCAGTAAATCTTTAAAGATGATTTTCCAGTATTACGAGGAGTGGCTGGTGGGTCTAAACCACCAACTTTCTGGTTAGCAGTCAGATGCCTTAGGCACTACGCCACCAGAGCTCCTTTCTCCATCACAGCACTATGATAATTTAGTATAATTATCTCTTTCCCTACTAACTAGACTGTAAGGTCCCTGAGGTCAGACTGCTGTGTGTTTCTCTCTTGCTTCTCCACTGATTTTCTAGTTTCTAGCATACTGTGTAAGAGCTCTGGTGGCATATGACCTCTGGTGGTGCAGTGGTTAAAGCATTCTGCTGCTAACCAAAAGTTCGGTTGTTTGAACCCACTAGCCACTCCTAGGGAAAAGAAGAGGCAGTCTGCTTCCAAAGATTTACAGCCTTGGAAACACCATGGGGCAATTCTATCTGTCCTATAGGGTTACTATCAGTTGGAATCCACTTGATGGCACTGGGTAGCATACTATATAGCCATATATAGAGAAGTATTTGTTGAATGAATGAATATTTGTCATGCTTTAAGAGAAAAGGTTCAAAGTCTCTTTAGGACTTTCAAAATCATGTCTCCCTAGCAGCAAGGTCAGAAGCGCTCATCTACATGTCTTCCCCTGCAATTACTGCCAGAGGTTCAGGGCATGGGACGAGTGCTGCAGCAGTAGTCAGGAGGAGCCTGTACTGGCCAGAAGGAGGGAAGTGAGAGAGAGATGTTCCTAGAAGTTCTAGCTAAGAAGATGGGTGGGAATTGTCTGTTGTTATCACCCCCTGCCCCAAAGGTCATCTCAGTCCTGGCCTTTCCCACTCTCATCCCTACTGAGGGCTCCAGCATAAGCATGCCCACTACTCTTGCCACAATCATCCCTCCAGAAAGAGTCAGGGTTCTTGTTTTCCTCTAGCTTACTGGGAAGCAGAGCTGTCTCATAGCTTCTTCCTGTGCTCTTGCCCCTGAAACCAGCACCAACACCAGCCCTGTTACCTCTCCCCAAAGGAAATAGATGAGGGGGAGAGGGGAAATTGATGAAATGTAAAATGTTTAAATATCTTTTTTAAAAAATAGTCCAGAGTATTCTGGGGATAAATGGGGCAGACCTCCTTCCCCACCACCCAGTCTTATGTTGGGCAGCAGTGGAATCCCCACTGGTTTCCTGCTTCTAATCCTGCCCAGCATCACTCTCCCTCCTGGACTCGGCTGGATTCCTTGTCCTGCATGGAGAATGCTCCCTCTTATGAATGCCTTCCCTACATTCATTCTCTTATTTTCACTTATGCTCTGGGGAAAGGCAAAGGATATACAATGATGATGAACAGACAGGGGAATGGTGTGTACACACAGAACTGAAATTCAATCCTATGATTTCAATTCTACCAATATACCTGGCATCATACTAGGCAGTGGGAGTACTGAGATGAGTTAGAACAGGACTCTGCCCTCACAGAGCTCATGGGCTACCTGAGAAAGAGTGGATTAAGAAATCTATCCATTAATTCACTGAGCAGATCTTTTCTGAGAGCCTACTATGTGTTAGGTACTGGGGATACCACAGGAAACAAGATACTGTCCAATTGTTCCTCAAGGAACTTACATCCTAGGGAGACATAATAAATGAGCTTATAAAAGAAATTCAGAGTGTGAAAAGTATGCATTAAATGAACACCAGTTGAATAGCTGCCATCAAGTTGATTCCGACTGTGGCAACCCCATGTGTGTCAGACAGAGCTTCAAAGTGGTTTGTTCTGGCGCAACCTCCTACTGAGAATGTGCATTTCCAGCCCAGATATACCAAATCAGAATCTACAGTTTAACAAGATCCTCAGGTGATTCTTAGAAGAAGGATGAACTGAATGAACTGGTTTGAACCCACCCAGCAGGGAGAAAAAAAATTATTTCTATAATGATTACAGCCTAGAAAACCCTATGGAGCAGTTCTACTCTATCACGTGGGATTACTATTGACTCAAAGGCACCCAAAAATAATAACTAAAGGTTGAAGGTTTGAGTTCACCCAGAGGTGCCTCAGAAGAAAGGCCTGGAGATCTACTTCCAAAGCAGCAGCCATTGAAAACCCTACAGAGCACAGTCCTACTCTGGCACATAGGGCTCATTCAGGGTAATCACTTCCATCCCAGGGGGAATATATATTGACTGAGGATGGTATAAAGAATTAACTCCTGGGCTGAGCTTTAAAAGCTGTGGGAATATACTAGGTAGCCTTCAAGAAGATGAAAAGAGATCTATTTTGGAGAAAACTGAGCTAGTCATCTTCATCTTCCTAAAGCATTCCTCCCTCACAAAGGCTCTGGTTGGTCCCAAGATGGACTTTCATGCTCAAAGGAAAGAGAAAAGGGATGTTATCCAAACACCCAGGCTACTGTCATAGGAGCTTACCATCCCCTCCTCTTTTTATCCTCCTACCTCCGCACAGCCTAGTACTGAAGACTCTGCCCTAGGCAAGCTGTGAATGGGACCCCTGATGTGGTGATGTGGACTTGTGGGGGTGGAATTGGCTGCAACCAATTGGTGGAATTGGTGGGGATGGAAAGCATGGGATGCCAACAGTTGTAAGGAAAGGAAACTAACAGTGAGCTCCAGAAAGCAGCTGCTCCAAGGGTGGAATGTGCCAAGGGCTTGCATAATTGAAAGGGATGTTTATAAATCAAAGTGTCAATAGGAGAGAGAGCCTGAAGAAGAGAAACCACCACTCTAGGCAGCCCACCTGCACTGCTACCTATGTTCCCTAAAACAAATCCACTGCCATTGAGTTGATTCCAACTCAGAGACCTTATAAGACAGAGTCAAACTGCCCCCATAGGGCTTCCAAGGCTATAAATCTTTATGGAAGCAGACTGCTTCATCTTTTCCCACAGAGCAACTAGTGGGTTGGAGCCATCAACCTTTTGATTAGCAGCTGAATGCTTTAACCACTGCACCACCAGAGCTCATTCTATTCTCCTCGCTTCCACCTAAAAGAACAGAATTGCCTCTCTTCTCCTCCTCTCCCTCGCACTAGCTTTCTCTTTTCTTTAAAATAATAGTTGTGTTTTCGGTGAAGGTTTACAGTTTAGGTTCCCATTCAACAATTTCTACACAAGTTGTTCAGTGACACTGGTCACCTTCTTCACAACATGTGACTGACCATTCCCATTATTCCCATTCTGATTATTCCATTTCCATAATCTGGTTTCCCTGCCACTCTTATTCTCATCTTTATTTATTTTCAGCCTAACACTCTTGAGGCTTCCAATCACTTAACCTGAGAAGCCCAGGATCCTCAACAGAGTAGTCAGGCCCTTCACATCCTGGGCCCAACCTTCCCAGGCTCATGTCCCCCATCATTCCTTTCCCACCATCTTCATCCCTAGCCACCATGAACCATGTGGTTCTTCTCTGCCTGAAGTGTCTACTTCCTCAGCCTAGTAAAATCCTAAGGCGCAGATGAACAGTGAGCCAATCCTGTGAGCACTTCCCCAGTAGTCCACCAGCCCCAGCAAAGCTTGCCAGCCCTCCCCGAGTCCAATTATTCCAGTAACCATAACACAAATGTTGCAAACTACTAGCCTGTGGAATGTTTGCTTGATCTAATGAAGAAATTGGGCCATTTCTTATAAAACTATGGGTTTATGTTGTTGTTGTTGTTTGCCGTCAAGTCGGACCCGACTCATAGCGACCCTTCCTTGGGTTTCCGAGGCAGTATCACTACGGAAGTAGATTGCCCCATCTTCCTTCCGAGGAGTGGCTGGTGGGTTTGAACCACCAGCCTTCTGGTTAGCAGTCAAGTGCCTTAGGCACTATGTTACCAGAGCCCCTATGGGTTTATAGTTATTCTTTAAAATTTAAGTCTTGCAGTATTGGGGCTGTAATGGCCACAGGCTAACAACTGGTTGGAGTTTATTAGCAGCTACCACCTTTAAACAAAGCACCTCTTGTCTGCCAGTCTCCACCCATCCATCTCACTCCTCTACATTATTGGCCTGACCCTGGAATTCATTTGCGTGTGCATGTCCTGCACTCACATTGTCCCAGAATCAAAGTACATAGAACTTCACCATTTGACTGATGAAAATTAGTTTGCGGTTGCTGTAACTTGCATTTCTTTGAGAAAAGCTGAGCACCTTTTCAGGTGTTTACTGGCTGTATTCTTTTTTTAAATACAAGAACTTTTTGTTCATGTCCTTGATTCAACTTTCTACTAGGTTGATAGGAATTTTCTTGTTGTTTTTTAAGAGATCTTTCTATAATGAGAAAATCAGTCCACTGTCATGTATGTTGGAAGTATTTTTCAGTTTTCTATTTAGTGTTTGTCTTCTATGGTTCCTGAATTTTGTGTCTGTCGTAGAGGACTCTCCCAGTCCAGGATATGTAGATAGGAATTATTCATGTTTTATTCAAGTACTTTTATAGTCTCACTTTTTATGTTTAAATATCTCTGATCTGAAATTTCTTTCTGTGTAATGAATAACTTTTGTTCCTCACACAGCTAACCTAGCTATATTTTAGACACAAAACTTCTAAGTATCACTTGTAGAACTGGGTCTAGAAATTGGGTCACTAACTGTTTTCACCCTCTGAGACTTCAGAGCTGGTGGGAAATCATAGTCCCTCTGCAGTGCTGAGTAGGAAAATGTTACCCAGATCCAGAGGTTTCCCAGACTAAGCAACTCTAATCTTCTGCCAAGCCCTAAGGCTTCTGAAGATAGCACTTGAGTGGAGTCGAGGTCACCTTGGCCAACATGTTTGCAGGGTAGGGTGAGGCTGAAACCTCAGAACTGGTTGTCATAATTGTATTTCACAACAGCCTCCACACAGCATCAACTATTCCAGCAAGAAAGTCTGCCTTTGTCCCTTGTCTTGTGTAATGTTGTGCCCTTGGCCCACTTCTTACAATCAATACTAGCCCTGGATGATCTCATCCTTCCCAAAGCTTCAATTAGTATGTCTGTGCAAATGACTCAGATCTTCAACTCCAGCCCCCATGCTCCAAAGCTCTACAGCTGCATCTCCAGCTGCCTGGAAATCAGCATGGATATCCCACAGGTACCTTACACTCACACATCCTACTCCAAAGTTCTTTCATAGTCCCCAGATTACTTCTCATTTGGCCTGCAAGCCCAATAACCTACATCAACATCCTTCTAGTCTTTCAGTTTTGAAACCACCAGCAGCCTACAAAATGTCTCTCCGATCCATTCTTCTTTCCCTTCCCACCACCACTATTGTAGTTAAGACCCTTATTGTCTCTGGCTTGCAATGCAATAAAATTCTAACATCTTTGTTCTCTTTCAACCTCCTCCAACTCATCCTTCATGCTACCTCCAGGTGTCTGATGGAGTTCCACCTCAGAAGTCCTCTCACTGCCTACAAAAATAAACTCACAACTCCATAAAATGGCATTAAGGGCCTTCCACACTCTGCCCCAATTTCCCTTTCTCTTATCCCTACCGTCTCCACACCATCATTCACTCTGTACTTTTATCACTTCATTCCACTGACTTTCCACCTTCCAGTGCTATCCCATCTACCTGGAATTCATGTTAAACCCTTAGCCCACCTTTCAGCAGGGTTCTGACCACCTGTCAGAATGAATCTCTCCTTAACCTCTAGATACTTGCTATCCAGTGCAGTAGCCACTAGCCACATGTGTCTATTGAGTATTTCAAGGGGGTGAGCCTAAACTGAGATAAGCTGTAAATATAATTGTACAGTGAATATATATTTGGATATATTATCTATTTGGATAATTTTCTATATTGACTGCTTGTGAAATATTTTGGATATACTGGATTTGATAAAATGTATTTAAAGTTAATTTCACATATTTTAATATGCTTACTAGAAAACGTAAAATCACGTATGTGGCTGATATTGTATGTTTATTGAATGTCAGCACTCTAGATAGTCTATATTTCTATGGCCTTCATTCCTCATGCCTTCATTTATTCATTCAGTAATTAATAAGAACTTATCATGGGCCAACCACTCTTCCAGGCACTGGGTTACAGTGGTAAACAGATCAAGATACCTAACCTCAAGGATCTTACACAGTCTGGTGGGGAGTTTACAGTCCAGTTTATGGTTTATAAACATATCCAAATCCAGATAATCCTGCTTCATATTAACCACAAAAAACAAATGCTAAACAGTACTAATGACATTCTTTGTACTTCTTCTGCTCTCAGGTTCTCCCAAAGATGACATCACATGTGGTAAATGAGATTGATAACATTTTGCGCAACAAGCCCTACAGCAAGAAGGACTATAGATCCTAAGGCAATGCATGACCCCAAGAGCTGCATGGGTATAATAGCAGTCTGCACTGGTACGGGGTTGGTGTTACTAGCCAGTCTTTTGAATCACTTAGCAGCCTGCTGCTCAATCTCTAGTGTCCCCGGATTCTCTGAGGTGTCTGCTGTCACTACCACTGTGCACCTGAATAAGAGCACATCTGAAAACTCACAACAAGAAAATCCATTCTATTTTCTTATCTTGGACTGGAGTCACCTATCTTTGCATTGCTCTGTACACCTCATGCTTATATGCAATGGGAAGCATATGGGGAGAAAGATACGTTACTTCCAAGCATCTGGTAACTTAAAGGCGGCTGTACAGATATATTTTTTCAAATGAACAGAAGCCACAGATGCAATGTGGAGGTATAATAAACAAAAACAGAAGCAGAGTCAGAGAGCTTAGCTCAGAAGTCTTTGCTTGGGAGAGTAAGCAGAAACAAGTTTTTCTATTTTCACATTCATGTTAAGAGTAGTTTTGTTTCACTCGTCACTCAACAATACTAAAATTTCTAGGTATTTCATCAATTTTTCAATATTCACTGCTGATTAGCCCCAAGAATAGCAATTTATCCAAGGTGTCGAATGAAGGAATCCTGGTGTCTATAAGAGCCTAACGATACTACCATGTTACATGGAGGCACTGTAAAAGGATGACTACCCCAAACTTTTAACTAGAGAGACTATGGTTAATTTATGGAAGGGTTACACTGCTATGGAAACTTAGCTGTTAATAAAATGGAAAGTAATGTATGTGTAATGAAGTGTTCATTTTTCACTATATTAAAACTTGCTTTATAGTTTTGACGGCTTGTAGGCACAGCTCCTGCAAGTTTAAATATTTGAGCTTTAAAAGTATACACACGTTCAGTTTTGTAAGTAAACATGTAAAATATCCACAAAGTAAATGTTCGTTTTTTAAAATTAGCACTGGGATTTTACAGTATGAGGCTTGACATTTTTGAGGAGTTAACATGAAAGTGAATCACAAGCTTTGTGAAAAACACTATGTTCCTCCTCAGCATAGGCTGGGTGAATTAACTTATCCAATGAAAAGTAAACTTTAAATAACCTCCTGATTCTATAATCACATTCTATGTACTAAACTATATGCATGAGAGATCTTTGCATGGATTGAAGAGGTTTAGCCTTGTTGCACTCAGAATCTGAGGTCTACCCATCTAGCCCTGCCACTACTGGCTTACCTACCCTTCTGAATATTCTACTTGAGACATGTTAGAATGTACTAAATGTTCCTACCTGTAAGGGAGAAAGCATACTTTTAATTTTGGTCCTGTAAATTCTATTTAGAAAATGAGGATGCGTAATCTTAATATAATTATTTGGCCAGCAAGCCCATCCAATAGAAATCACTTGGAGATACAAAACTTACTACAGCTGAAATGCTTTTTTTCTGCCATCATTTCCAGAAATGTATTTCATGGTTAAGTTTTAAATCTTAAAATATTAGTGTGACATCAACAAATTTGTTTTTTATTATCTCTACCTGTATTCTAATAGGGAAACCATTTGTTTCATTTTGGGTTTTTTTGCCCAAATATCAGATTAATGATAGAAAAGGATAATTTTTCAGTTGTTCAATGTATATTCAATCAGTGAAGTATGTATATATGAACGAGCTGAGGTGCTGTCTATCTGGAACTGCAATCTTACCTATTGATTTGCTTGGAGTAATAAAAGCATTTTGTGCATTTAATCTCACAACCAGGGTTTTCATCTGAACTTTCATTATAAGGCATAAAACATGTATATATTACCATAAAATAAGTAGGAAGAATCACTGAAATAAAAATTATGTTGGAAGATGAGCTGCACTGAATGATACCCAACAGAAATTGTGGTGATCAAAACACTGTGATGAAAAAGCACTATCCAACTTTTTTTTCCCTCTTATTAATGGAGAAAATGATTAGCTACTGAAGGTTTAATTTCTGGGTTTTAGAAATACTTGCATTAAAGGTTCTCCAGCCTACTTAGAGGAACCTACAAATCGAAACCAAATACAAACTTTATTGCTTAGCAGTGGCAACAGCCATTTTTTTAATATATAAATCATCTGCGTAGTAAAGATAACTAGGTAAGATACGCATTTTCACAATTAAAGCCTTCAGTTAAATTTCCACACACTCTCATCTTTTCTGAAAAGCAGAGAATACATCATTCTGAAGGGGTAGCCTGGCAGTTGTTGTTGTTGTTGTTAAGTGCCATCGAGTCATCTCTGACTCATAGCGACCCTGTGCACAGCAGAATGAAACACTGCCCAGTCCTGAGCCAGCTCCACGATTCTTGCTACACTTGAGCCCATCACCACCGCCTCCGCCACCGTGTCACTCCACCTCCTTGAGGGCAATCCCCTCTTTCATTGTCCCTCTACCTTACCAAGCATGATATCTGCGGTGTAGTAAATTACTTAGTGTGGCTTTTCTAGCCATAAGTCTTTGTAAACTCCAAGGTGGGATTTGCTATGAGCTACTGAGGAGCTCCTGATTGCTGAAGGTGTCCACCTGGAGTATTTCTGTTGGGCGTGGCACAAAACAATGTTCTGGGAGGTACCCACTTCTCTCAGGTGCTTAGAGTTCTGATGCTATGATTGGCTAGTTTGACCACCCTGCCGGGCTCAAAAGGAGGCCTCCTAGAGGCAGAACTCGCTCTGACTGCTGGTTGAGGAAGACATGCTGCCAAAAGAGACATGTGCTGCTGGAAGAGACATGCGCTGCTGGGAAAGAGACTCAAGCAACACCCATTGCTGAGTGAGACACCGAGGGACCAGCACTGCTGGAAAGAGACTGTGAGAGACTGTTGGCTGAGGGACGGTGGGCTGGGAGAGAGACTGAGCATTTTTCCTGAACCTGAATTGTAGCCTGTGGTGCTTCCCTAATAAACCCCATAATCTGTGAGCTCTGTGTGGCCACTGCAG